GCCGTGCCGGCGCTGGACGAGGAGGACGAGACGGGCGCTCCGCTGCGGCCGCTTGTCGAGGAGGCGGCACGGCTGGCGGTGGCGCTGACGCCGCACTTCCAGCGCTCGCACTTTAGCTTCGAGGTGCCGGTGGAGATGGTGCACTGGCTGTCCGACGGCGACCCGCGCAGGCGCCGCTCCGACTGCGGCGACCTGCCCCGCTCCACCTTCTACGGCCAGTGCCGCTGGGACGAGGCGGTCAAGCGGGAGGGCCGGGCGGCGGCGCGGGCGGGGTCGCTCGACCGACAAACGGCGGCGTTGCTCGACCTCGAGCCGCTGCCGCTCGACGGGCTGCTGGGCCGCAGGGACCCCGAGAGCGCGCGGATGCGGCGGAGCCTCGGTTGCCCCGACCTCGTCGCGCTGGTGGAGGACGCGGCGGAGGAGGAGCCGTCGGCAGAGGTGTGGTGAAAAAGCAAAAACGTGTTTTTCCGGTTCAGCCTTTTTGCAGCCTCCCCCCCCCGCGCTCGTGGAATAAAAAAAACCCCAAATCAACGCCGCACAGTCGAGAGCTCGAGACCCATTCACAGTATGTGCACACACACACATATTGAGAAGAAAATACCTCCTATGGCGCTGTGCGCTGGCCTGTGAGAGGTTGAGGTGCGAGCCCTGGAGGCCCTGGGGATGGGGGGGGACTACCCGCGGGCTTAGAAGGCCCGCGCGCAGGGGGGTGGGGCATTGAGACCGGTCATGAATGAGTTCACAGGCTCTCGTCGCGACCTGCGCCGCCTCCGGGTGTACACACATATGCGCTTCTACATCCACCACGACGGCGACCCCGAGTTCACGCTCGCCGTCAGCTGGGCTCCGACCGACAGGCGCGCCGTCCGCGACCTGTGTGCCCTCGTTGCAAAGCGCTTGCCGGCCACCGCCGGCACGCGGCACATTAGCCTCGTGACCGAGAATGGCGTCGAGCTGCCGGCCGGCCACTGCGTGTGCGCGTGCGTGCGGGAGGGTGCCGACCTGATCGCGAAAAGCGTTGCGCGCCCGCCCTCCCAGCCAGCGCCCGCCGCTGCGGCCAACGCCGCCGAGGACTTAGAGCCGTACCTCAAGGCCGCGGACAAGGCGTACGCGGCGCGGCAGCTGGCGCGGGCCAAGACCATCTACACGGAGCTGCTCGGCGTCTCTCCGCGCCTCTTCACGGCGCTGCTGCGGCTCGGCCTCATCGAGGAGCAAGCGGGGCGGCACGAGGAGGCGTGCCACTGGCTGCAGCGGGCGGTGCGCGAGGACCCCGCGAGCGAGGAGGCCGCGGTCGCTCTCGCGCGCTCCCACCTCGCGGCGGGCGAGGGCGAGGAGGCGGCCGCCGCGGTGCGCGCCGCACTCGAGCGGTGCGGCTCCGGGGCGGGCGGCAAGGCGGGCGGCAAGGCGGCGGCCAAGGTGGCGGCCAAGGCGCGGCGGCTCAAGATCGAGCTGGGTAGGACGCTCTTCAAGGCGGGTGCGCGGCAGGAGGGCGGCGCGCTGCTCACGTCGATCCTGCAGCAGGACATGGAGCAGGCGCACGCGCCGCCGCCGCCGCCGCCGCCGCCGCCGCCACCGCCGCCGCCGCCGCCGCGTGGTGAGACACGACACGTCCACGGCACGTCCACGACACGTCCACGACACGTCGCGCAGGCGGACGCGCTGCTTCCGTACGGCGAGGCGTGCGTCGCGCTCGGTCAGCACGACGACGCGCTCAAGATCTTTCTGCGGCTGGTGACGCAGCGCTCCGACGACAGCGCGGTGCGCCGCCTGCTCGCAGCCTCGCTCGGCTCCAAGGACGGGATGGCGCTGCTGCGGCAGCAGCTCGCCTTCGACGCAAAGTCGGCGTCGGCGCTCGCCTTCCTCGCGACGATCGCAAGGGACCACTCCAAGCTCTCCGCCTCGCTCGAGCTCATCGCCGAGGCAGCGCGGCTCGTGCCGGACGCGTCCGCGTACGCGCTGCAGCGCGCGCACACCCTCGAGGTCGAGCTGCGCTACGCCGACGCGCTGGAGGCCGTGCGCGAGCACTGCGACGCCAACCCGCAGCGCGCCGCCGCCGGCGTGCGCTGCGCTGACGTGGCGGCGCTGCTTCCGACGAGGGAGCAGTGCGAGGCCGCGCGCTGGCGGCCTCCCTCCGCGCCGCCCTCCGCGTCGCCCTGCAAGGGGACGGCGGAGGAGGCCGCGTTGCGAGCCGCGGCGACGGAGGTTGCTCCGGACGCAGGCGGCGAGCTAGCCGACGGGGAGGGGGCGAGACTCGGCAAGGAGGCTCCTCCCCTCGAGCTCGACCTGCTCGCTCTCTACTTCACGGCGCTCAAGGCGCCCCCCCCCCCCTTTTCTCCGGCCCTCACCCGCTCACGCACCCCGGCTCGCCCTCTCCCGGCTCGCCCGCTCCCGGCTCCGCCCCACCCTGCGCGCGCCTCGCGGTTTGCCGCAGGTGCTTTTTGTCTCCGGATGCCTGCCCGCCGCCTCCGCCCTCGTCCGCCTTCTCGAGCCAGCGCGCCGGCAGATCAGGGACCTGCACCTCACGCTCATCCGCAATGAGAACGCGTACTACTGCTGCGCCGCGATGCTCCTCGCCACGCCTCCGCCGCAGCCGGCCGACCCGCCCCTCGCGCCTCTGTACGTGGCCGGCGACTCGCACGCCCTCTCGCCCTCGTGGCGCGTGGTGCGCTGGCGCGGACAGCCGCGCGTGCTCGTGCCCGTCCTCGTGACCGGCCTCAAGCTGTGGCACCTTCGCGACGGCGCAGACTTCTTCCCAAAGGCAAACTTCGAGGCGGCGGCCGCCTCCCTCCCCGACGGCGCGGACGTCGTCTTCGCCTTTGGAGAGATCGACTGCCGCGAGGGTGCGCCGCCCGCCGCCGTCGAGCGGGCGCGTCGCTCCCCTCTCGACGCCCCCCCCCCCCCCCACCCGGCCGCGGACCGCCCTTCAGGCTTGCTGCTCGCCGTCGAGCGGGCGCGCTACCGAGACCTCGCACAGGCGATCGACACGGTGGTTGACATCTACATCCGCACGCTGCGCCGGCTAGCGGCGCGCCGGCGCTTCAACATCCTCGTCCACCCGGCACCCCGCCCCTCCCCGCGCCCGCGCAGGGCGAGGCGCCCTCACTGAGGCGAGAGGTGCCGCCCCCCTGCAGGTCCCTCCGGTCCTGCCAGAGACTCGCGCCGTCGTCAAGCAGTTCAACGCTGCCCTGCGGCGCGCCGTCGAGCGCGCCTCGCCCGTGCTCGCTTGGCTCGACTTTTTCGAGCAGCTCCTCACACCCGCCGGCGACGCGCTCGCGGACGGCCTCGCCCTCGACGGCACCCATCTCAACCCGCAGTACGTCCGCCTGCTCGAGGCGGCGCTGCCAGCCTAGAGATACCTGCCAGCAAACCTGCTCAGAGAGGCGACCGTTAGATCTTAGAGTAAGTCTTAGTACTTAGAGAGGCGACCTTGGAGCACTTAAATAAATACGAAACGGACACGCCAAACGAGGGAATGGGAGGAGGACAGGGTCCCCACCTGAACGAGCAGGACGGCACGCCGCCACCACACAGGGATTTCACTGGAAGGATGTATGTATGTAGTAAGGTGAAGAACAGTCAGGCTCGGACTGGACACCAACGCGGTATGGGTGGACGCAAGACAGATGATGACGACACGCACGAGCGACACACAGACACAGACAAGCTCACAAGACACACAGCCAGCGGGCTGCCACACATCCTGAGTGGGCGTACACATCACTCAGGCCACGTCCCCCCTGTCGCCCCCCCCAGCACTCCAAGGTGCCAAGAGACAAACAACAGCACAACAACACAGACAGGCGACAGGGGCGAACGTGTGAGACTAGAGCAGGCTTGCTCCGCCTCTAGCAATCTCGTCGCCGGCCGCAAGGCACGGACGAGACCGTGTGTGGGGTCTTGTGAGGTGTCTATGGACGCCCTCCTCACAGGCTATTGGCCAGCCGCTAGCCCTAACTCGCACTCATGGGTGACGACAGTTCATTGGATGAGTGGTTGCGAGCAGAGGCGCGTGTGCTGAATCTAGATCGCACGCCGTGGCATATGACTTGGGTAGGCGTGCGACCGCAGCGCGCCCGCCGAAGGCTCGACCGGGCGCGCGTGTCAGCCAGAAGTTTGCCAGTAGAGCGATCCTGGTCTTTCCGAAGACGAGCCCCGCGCCACGGGTGCCAGCCGTGCCTCCGCGGGAGCCGCCTCTCGAGCCGCGTCCCGCCGGCACTGTCCCTGAGTGCGTTCCGCCTTGGTTGGCGACACGCACTCGACGAGGGCAGTCCAGCCGACGGGAACGTGTCGCGCGCCGGCGACGAATGCGGCGGGGTGGGTGTGGGTACCGAGCGCCGCTTCGACGAAGCGAGGTTGGCAGGCGCCCCTCACGAGTCCGTTCAGACATGCCACACGCCCCTCGCAAGCGAGGTTAGTAGGCGCCCCTGGCGAGACCCGCAAGAGATGCCGCAGTGTTTTCTAGGGGAACGGGGATGACGGTTTTCTTTCCACGGCACCGGTTAGATCGGTTCAGCCTGCGCTGTCCTGGGCGGCCTTCTTGGGCGGCGCCTTCTTGGACTTGGCCTGAGGGAGGAGGGGGAGAGGCGCGGCCTTCAGCGGGCGTGGAGAGCACGTAGCCCACGTCACCCAAGGGGTGAAACATGGGCATCTGCTGGTCTGCGCATCCAGAGGACGCGGGGCGACCGTGGCCACCTGCGCGGCGGCGCCGCCTGCGCTTTTGTCGGCCGGCCCCTTCAGCCGGTTTGACCGGCTCTTGACGGACTCCGCGCTGCGGCCGGGCAGGCGCTTGGCAATGTCGACCCAGCTCTCCCCGGCCTCTTGGCCCGCCTTGAGAAGCGCATCGTCCGCTGCAGTCCACCGCACGAGCTCCCGCTTCACGGGCTCGTGCTTCACGGACGTGTCGGGCTGCCGCTTCAGCCGGTCAAACCGGCTCTTGACGGAGTCGGCGCTGCGGCCGGGCAGGCGCTTGGCAATGTCGACCCAGCTCTCCCCGGCCTCTTGGCCCGCCTTGACAAGCGCATCGTCCGCTGCAGTCCACCGCACGAGCTCCCGCTTCACGGGCTCGTGCTTCACGGACGTGTCGGGCTGCCGCTTCAGCCGGTTTGACCGGCTCTTGACGGACTCCGCGCTGCGGCCGGGCAGGCGCTTGGCAATGTCGACCCAGCTCTCCCCGGCCTCTTGGCCCGCCTTGACAAGCGCATCGTCCGCTGCAGTCCACCGCACGAGCTCCCGCTTCACGGGCTCGTGCTTCACGGACGTGTCGGGCTGCCGCTTCAGCCGCTTTGACCGGCTCTTGACGGAGTCGGCGCTGCGGCCGGGCAGGCGCTTGGCAATGTCGGCCCAGCTCTCCCCGGCCTCTTGGCCCGCCTTGACGAGCGCATCGTCATCTGCGGTCCAACCGATCATGCCGACGCCCCCACGATCACGGTTCCAACTTTTTCCGGTACCGACGTGTATTTTATTTTTGCTAGGCCGGGCATCATGACGGGGTAGGTAGGGTAGGGTCTGAGCCCTCCCGTCGGGTTTTCCCCTCTCTCACGCCGGAATTTACACAGCAGGAAAAGAATTTTTCCGCGCAAATCACGATGTCAACCCTCCCCAAGTCGTTGATCTGGTGCTTGTAGGGCTTGAGAGTGGCCTGCCATGTCGCAGGAAGGACTGTGGTTGCAGGATAGCACCACCAGCCATCACTTTAGTTGGTATAGTACCCAACCTTCACCCGTCCCGTGATTTCTTTTTTAGTTTCCCATAAGTAAGGTAGGTAGGTAGGTAGCTAGGACCTAGGTAGGGGCAGGGCAGGGGCCGGTCAGGTTTTTGCAGAATTTCATCATGATGCCCGGCCAAGCAAAAATAAAATACACCTGCGCCAGTGGGAAAGAAATCCGGGCGGTGTTTGTTTTCTTTCTTTACGCCCTGCGCAGGGTGGGCACTGTGCCTCTGTGTTCGTGCGTCGCCCATCTCTCCTGGAACTCTATTTATTCATTTATTACCCGTCCCGTCCCTAGGGAAAAAGAGGCGGGCGCATTGTTTGGGCTTCCTTAGGCCGATGGCCGTGTGTGCTGCCGTTGATCGCCGAGTGGCCTCTAGCGCCGCCGGAGTGTGCCTCACACGCCCCTGAGTTTGGGGGTTCCAAGCGGCAGTGACGATTGAGAGTGTGCGTCGTGTTCGCGTCTGGTGTCTAGTAACTCAACCGCGTCGCGCACTCGTCCCAACCGAGGGCCGCAGACTCGTTCTGCGCGCCAACGGCTGGTGACGCTGTGTTGCCCTTGAGCTAGTCCTTCCCCGGTCGCCTAGCCTCTGCGCTGTCTGGCGGACGCCTGTATGCCATGCACGCGGACCACGCTTGCGTGGATTTGTGGCTGGCAGGCTGACCCGTGTGCGGGGTAACCCGCGCACGGGGAAGCTTCACGGGTTCGAGCCGTCAACCATTGAGCAGCGGAGGTGTGCCGAGGGGGACCGGGAGGCGGTAAGTCGTCGTCGCCCGGCACTGCTTGCAGCACCATGGCGATGGCGCTAAGAGGTTCCTCTTTTCCGCGCCCCCCCCGCAAGGCGCGCGATACACAACTCCGTACAAAGAGTAAGTATAGAGGCTGGGGGACGGGGTAGGTAGGGTAGGGCCTAGGTAGGGCAGCCGAGCTCACGCTTTCCAGCGACAAATGCAGCAGAAGGCCGGGCCATCTGCCGCTGGAGCGCCGCGAAAGCTCACGATCAAACCGCTTCGCACGGCGCCAAAGTTGCCCGCCAACTTCGAGCAGGCCACCTGGGCCAAGCTGCTGGACGCGGTGCGAGCTGTCCACGGCAAGCGTGCGGTGAACCACAGCCTGGAGGAGCTGTACCGAGGTGTGGAGGACATGTGTGTGCAGCACATGGCGGCGCGGACGTACGATAAGCTGCAGGCAGAGTGCGAGGCCCACGTGGAGGCCTCGATCGAGGCCCTACAGACCCCCGACACGAGCGCCTTCCTCTCGCTCGTGCACGGCTGCTGGTCGGCGCACTGCGAGGAGATGCTCACCCTGCGCTCGATCTTCCTGTACCTCGACCGCACCTACGTCATGCAGAGCGCCGCGCGGCGCTCCCTCTGGGAGATGGGGCTGCACAGCTTCCGCGCGCAGCTGAGCGCGCGGCCCGAGCTGCTCGCCAAGTTGCGCGATGGCGTGCTCGCGAGCATCGAGCGGGAGCGGGGGGGCGACCAGGTGGAGCGGTCGCTGCTGGCGGAGCTGCTGCGCATGCTCTACGACCTCGGGCTCTACCAGCGCCACTTCGAAGAGCAGTTCCTCGCCGCCTCGTCCGCATACTACCTCGCAGAGGGCGCTGCAGAGATGAATGCGCGCGCCCCGCCCGCCGGCCCGCCCCCCCGGGGAGGGGGGAAGGAGCGCCTTAGGAGGGAAAGGCCCCCCCCCCCCCCCCCCCTTCCCCCCCCGGCCCCCCTTCCCGAAGGCGCGCGACGTCCCCTCGTACCTCGAGCACGTCGCCTCGCGCCTCTCTCGAGAGGAGGCTCGCGTCGCCCACTACCTGCACGGCTCCTCGCGCAAGCCGCTGATGGCGGCGGTGCGGCAGACGCTGCTCGCGGTGCACGTGCGGCCGCTCCTCGAGCGCGGCTTCGCCGACCTCGTCCAGCACGCGCGCCTCGACGACCTCAGGCGCATGTACTCGCTGTTTGCGCAGGCGAGGGTGCTGCCCTTGCCGCGGCGAGCCGTGCGCGCCCCGCACGCGCCCAGCACGCACGCGGCCAACACGCGGCGGGCACGCGGCCACGGTGGTGTGCATGGCACGTCCACGGCGCCTCCACGGCGCGTGCCGCAGGTGAACGCGCTGCCCGAGCTGCGGCAGGCCTTTGCGGCGCACATCAAGAGCGTGGGCGGTGCGATGGTGAGCGACCAGGAGCGTGAGCGAGGGCTCGTGCAGGAGCGGCTGGGTGGCGGTAGGAGTGGTGGACTGGTGGGGGTAGACTGGTGGCGGTAGGAGTGGTGGACTGGTGGGGGTAGACTGGTGGGGGTAGCGAGTGGTGGACTTGTGGGGGCAGTAGGAAGCGGCCCTCCGGAGAGGAGAGAGGCCCTCCCCAGACACTGCCCCCCCCCCCCCCCACCCCCCGCGCGCAGGAGCTAATCTCTTTCAAGGAGAAGCTCGACACGGTCCTCGCGCAGGCCTTCGCAGGCAACGAGCAGTTTGGCCACTCGCTCAAGGAGCGAGATTACCCGAGATTACCCGAGATTACCCGAGATTACCCGAGATTACCCGAGATTACCCGAGCAGTCTGGCCACTCGCTCAAGGAGCGCGAGCGGCTCCTCTCACACCTCCGGCAGACCCCCGTCCGCCGAGCCCTGCCCGAGCCGTGTAGGAGTCGTTCGAGCAGTTCATCAACATCCGCCAGAACCGGCCCGCGGAGCTGGTGGCGCGGTTTCTCGACTCGAAGCTGCGCGCGGGCAACAAGGGGAGCAGCGAGGGCGAGCTCGAGGAAGTGCTGGACAAGGCGATGACCCTCTTCCGCTACATCGACGGCAAGGACCTGTTCGAGGCCTTCTACAAGAAGGCCTCCGCACCGCGCGCCTCCTCTCCGCGACGCGCGCGCGACGGCTGCGCGACACGCCCGCCGCCCGTGTCCAGGACCTCTCCAAGCGGCTGCTCTTCGACAAGTCGGCCTCGATCGACACGGAGAAGGCGATGATCTCCAAGCTCAAGGCGGAGTGCGGCTCCGCCTTCACCTCCAAGCTCGAGGGCATGTTCAAGGACATCGACCTCTCGCAGGACGTGATGGCATCCTTCCGCACCTCGCCGCAGGCCGCAAAGGTCTCCCCCAGCCTCGAGCTGTCGGTGCACGTGCTCACGCAGGGCTACTGGCCGACGTGACCTCCCCTTCCCCCTCTGCCTTCCTCCCACGCTCCACGCCTCCCACGCTCCACGCCTCCCCCCTCCCCGCTCTGCCTCTCCCCTCCCCGCGCGAGCTCCGCCAGCGCGCCCACCACGACCGCGCCAAAGAGGAGCAGCGAGATTACCCGAGATTACCCGAGATTACCCGAGATCACCACCGCCGCGCCAAAGAGGAGCCGCCCTTCCCAAGCCGCCCTCCCCTCCCTGCAGGTACCCTCCCGTCGAGCTCAAGCTGCCGGGCGAGATCCTCGAGCTGCAGGAGATCTTCTCCACCTACTATATGTCCAAGCACAACGGCCGGCGGCTGCAGTGGCACCCGTGCCTCGGCCACTGCACGCTCAAGGCCAACTTCCCGCTCGGCAAGAAGGAGATCTCGGTCTCACTGCTGCAGACGATCGTGCTGCTGCTCTTCAACGACGGCGACGGCCTCTCGTACGCGCACGTGCTGCAGGCCACCGGCATCGAGGACCGCGAGCTCAAGGTGACGCTGCAGTCGCTCGCCTGCGGCAAGGTGCGCGTGCTGCGCAAGGAGCCGAAGGGGCGCGAGGTGGACGGGTCGGACCGCTTCTTCCTCGACGCGTCCTTCAAGCACCCCCTCTTCCGCATCAAGATCAACTCGATCCAGACACGAGAGAGCGAGGTGCGCCCCTTGCGACGGCGCGCGCGTCTGCGCGGTCGCCGTGCGTGCGCAGTCGGGGCTATGCTCTCAAATAGGCGGAGAACGAGCAGACGAGTGAGCGCGTCTTCCAGGATCGGCAGTACCAGATCGATGCGGCCATCGTGCGCGTGATGAAGGCGAGAAAGACGCTCTCGCACTCGCTCCTCATGTCGGAGCTCTTTCAGCAGGGGCCCCCCCCCCCCCCTCCCCGCCCTCCACCCCCTCGGCTCACCTCGCGCCGCCTCCCGCGTGGTCAGCTCAAGTTCCCGCTGAAGCCGCCCGACCTGAAGAAGCGGATAGAGTCGTTGATAGACCGCGAATACCTCGAGCGGGACCCAAAGTCGGCATCAACCTACATTTATCTGGCCTGAGCCGGGATCCAAACGCACTTAGTACCACCACCGCCGCTCCGCTGCTTGTCGGTTCGTCGCTTGTTGCACGGCGGTGTGCCCCTTTTTGGCGCTTAAATCCGTGAGTTTTCGTCTGAGCAGTTTACGAATACCCTGGTACACCTCTCCGGGTAATGACACTAATGTGAAACAAACACAGAGAACACACGGGCGTGACGGCCCAAAAACTCAAACACACGCACATACACACATGGCTCATGGGACGCCATATCGCTCTCGGCACTCGGGCCCACATCCCGCCACACCCGCCGCCCCTGCGCGCGCCCGCCCCGGCCGGGAGAAAGGGGAGTGGCAGTTTAGGACGGCGACAGACGAGATGCTACCTCGCACTCCACATGTGCGAGAGAACGCAGAGAGAGAATCAAAGGCGACCGGCCCACAAGTCCACCCGGCTCATGTGCGCCCCGAGCTGGCCACCTACCGCACTGTTTATTATCCGCGAAAACTCCTGGCGCGAACCACGTGCGGCAGGATGACGTTGCCTTAGTTTTGCTCGATCTTCTGTGAGCCCATAGGTCGTATTTATCTTCTCAAACAAGGCTGTGAATTTGAAAGAACATGCAATCGGAGGGCGACAAGCGCATCGGAGACGAGCCCGGTCCCAAGGCGACGGCGTGTAGTTCTTTTTAGCGTAGAGTGCGCGCGCGACCCGTGCGTTTTAAATTCTTTTTCGTGGTGTACCTGTGTTAGTGCCAGTGCGCGCCAGTCCCGTGCCCAGTGTCGTGCGATGCTGCGTGTTAAAATTCTTTTTAGCGTGTCAATGTGCTCAACCCGAGGGAAGGCGCCTAAATACCTTGGCCCGGCGGCTCGGTGTCCATGCGCTCGCTCGCGTTCGCGCTGGCCCTCGCCGCTGTTCCAGCCTCGGCGTGGGTCCTCAGTGACGACCCACGGTCATCTACCGCCGGCTGCGACGCGAAGGGCGACATCTTCAACTTGTACGACAAGATTGTCCTCTGGCCATACGGCGCGCCAACGCCGCCCTCCGCTCCTCCTCCTCCGCCAACGGCGCCCTCCGCGCTGACGACGCCAGAAGACATCGACTCGCCAGAAGAGGTCTCAACAAAAGGCCTCAAAGGTGGGCTAACCTATGCAATCCACCCGCAGTTCTGCGAGCGGATGCTTCCGCGCTTTCCGGAGGAGGACTTTGAGTCGATCGAGAACATCTTTGGCTTCTCGTTCCTCGACTGCGACCGCATCCGCAAGGCGATCGCCGAGGCCTTCAACACCTGGGCGATCAATCACAAGTACCTCCACTTTGAGGACGTCACCACAGCGTGCTGGAAGAGCTGGGAGGCTGCTGGATCGCCAAGCTGTGAGAGCTTGCCTAAAGACGCAACATGCGAGTGCCCGAACGCCGAGCTCCTGATCACAACGAACGACTTGTGGACGCCGGGCGTCGTTAACGCGAACTCGGTCCACCAAGGCGATTATGCGGCCTTTGTCATAAACGGAAAAAAAGGCACAGTAGCCATGGAACGACTTCCGACGCGCTTGACGTCGGGCGCGGTTATCGATGGGGACCAAGGTCTGCAGCGCTCGGAGATGACGGTCAGCACCGAGCTGTGCTGGTACCTCGATACCACCTTCTGCTACCAGTTCCACTCGATGAACGACGCCGGGTGGGACGTTGTCCTCTTCATGCGGATTGTCGTCACCGTCGTCTCCATCGTGTGCGCCGGCATCTTTTGCACCATCCTCGCATCCGGCCTCCGGAACGCGCTGTGCCCGTCGCAGGGGACGCGCGCGGAGTCATCTGTCAAGAAGGTCTTTGGCCGGCGCACCGATGCTGTCCTCCTCTTCCTCGCGCGTACGCCGCTCTTCTGCCTCCTCTTCTCGCTCTTCTGGCTGATTGCTGCGCCCGTCTTCTACTTCACCATCTTCCTCCCTTGCTGGGACTGCTACGACTTCAAGGCGACCCTCGCGCACGAGGTTGGGCACGTGCTTGGCTTCGACCACCCCGACGACACCGACTGCAACGGCGATTGCGTCCTTAGCGCACGCAACCTGCAAACCAGGGCGGGGATCGTCATGGGCGACAGCGTGTGCCAGAGGCCGCTCACTAATGACACCGTCGAGTGGATTCCGGACGCGGACAGAAAGGACTGCTCGAACCTCCCAGACGGAGACCCGCACGACTCGATCATGTTTTCGGTGACCAAGCACCGATCCCGCACCTGCCTCACCGCCGACGACCTCGAGGGCCTCAACTTTTTGTACCCTCTCTGCGGCGACGAGGCCTTGACCGAGCCGGAGTGCCTCGAGTCGCTCGAGCTCTCGGGGTACCTTCGCTTCACGCTCGCCATCGGCATGCCCTACGCGCTCTCCACGATCATTCTCTGCCTGCTGCAGTGCTGCGTCTCGGCGTACATGAGGCGCCGCACTCGACACTACGAGCAGGCCGTCTCCAGGCTGCGACGCGACAAGTCCGACATGCGGCGGGAGAACGCGAAGCTCAAGCTGCGGCTGTCCCAGATCGAGACGGGCGAGGAGCCCGCCCCGCGACACAAGATCTTCGGCGCCTTTGGGAGGAGCTCGCGCTCCATCATCAGTTCCCTCTTCACGCCGCGCCGCGCGCACACCCCAAACGCGTCGCCCTCCAAGCAAGAGCCGGTCGCAAGCACCCCCCTCGACAGCCCGACTGGCGAGGTGGACGCCGAGGACCTTGAGCGCATGTCGATGGTGCGCGAGTCGGTCAGCGAGGCACACGCTCGCTTCTCGACCGCCTCGCAGGATGTGTCGGCGCGCAGCAGCACGCGCCGCAGCTTCTCAGGCATGCCCTCGAGTGATAGCGGACTTCGCGTGGACGGGACGCCTCGCGGCGCGGGCTCCGACTCGCCGGCTCTGCAAGCGATCGCGATCGATGCCTCGCCCTGGCTGGCCAAGGACTAGCATCGCTGGCGCCAATCCGACCCCCGTGCCGCCGAGATAAGCTCCCCACGCATGCGCCCTCACGGGCGCGGTGGGCAGGCGCCACGAGGCCGGCCGTTCGTGAGAGGTGTGCGGTGAGCTCCGGACGACCACCGCGCCCCGGAGCGGCGCGGCGTCCCCACGTCCGTGCACACGACACGTCCACGACATAGATATCGGCGCGCGTACAAAAGGATTTATGCTGCCGGTGTGGCGGATTCAGAGAGTGAGTACCAATGTATTTAGTAGTATACGTACGTATGGGCGTGCACATTACGCATACGGTGTCGTGCAGGGCGCACCCCGAGAGGCCTGATCTCGGACGCCGGCGCACCGCAGGGCACGTGCACGTGCAGATAGAGGGGAGCACCAGCTATGTGTGCGCATGCTCGTGACACAGGACGTGACGAAGACGTCTGCACTTGTACACACGGATCGCAACGTTCGGCCCCGGGGGGTCATGCAACACAGATGCGGACGCCGCACCAAGCAGTTGGGGGCTACGGTAAGGCAAGTATGAGGAGGGGCGGAGCGCGCGTGGCCGCAGCGCGGCCGCTCGGGAGCGGTTCAAGAGGGGCCAGTCAGTCGGGAAAGTTCTCAGCCCGAGCACTCAGCCAGGGAGTCGTGCGAGACCGAGTGCGATAGGAGCGACGACCGGGTCCGGGAGGCGGGTTCCCAGTTGCTCAGGCGCGGGCGCAGGACCCGCTGCGACGCGAGGTGACCAGCGGCAGTCGAGCTTGCCGCCGGCGCCGAAGCTGGAGCAGGCACCAGATCAGGCAACGGCCCATCCATCCGCCACGCCAGTCGGTGCTCTCGCAGCGGCGCAGGCGGAGGCTTGTGAGCTAGCCGGGTCTGGGGCGGCGTGGAGCACTCGCTCAGGATCGTGTCGCCGAGCATTGCGCGCTGGTCCACTGTGAGCACTCCAAGCTCAGCGCCAGGAAACTCCGTCCGGGCCCGGCCCAACCCGGTTTGGGTCCGTGGAACGTCGCCGGAATCGCCGGGACGCGGCAAAAGCCGGTAGATGACATTACCGCGATCAGGAGGCTTGGCGAAGCTTGGAAAGTTCTCTCGGGGGGAAGGGGGGGGGGGGGGGGGACTCTTGAGTTCCCTGCGGGGGTTCTCTTTAAACGGTTGCGCGTGCTTTCTTTTGTCTCTTTTGTTCGTCTTGCCACATGATTGATGAAGAGAGAGGTTTTATTTTTCCAGTGTGGCTCGTACTACTTTTTACCTACCATTCAGATCTAGAGAGTCGTGATTTCTCTCCAGATCTATTACAGAGCTGACATGTGGATGGAGAGTTGTGGAATTGCAAAGGCAAAACGGAGACGCCAAGAGGAGAGAGAGTGTTGTTTGTCCAAGAGGTCAGTAGGGCAGCTAATAAAACGCAAAAAAACGAGGAAAAAAGAGATCACATCGGTGAGGAAGAACGCTGAAAAAGAAAGAAAGAAAACGGACAACCCAAGGGAGGGATGGGAGGACGGCACGCCGCCACCACACAGGGATTTTAAGGAGAGGGGTGTTTTAGGTATATTGTTGGCAAATCAAGACACAGAGCTCACACAGAATCACAGCGGGAGGAAAGCGGCGAGTCGCAATTCCTGGGGTCCTTGTGGCGGGCCACCCTGTCCAGAGAGGCATGGATGCCAATCTGGGGTCTCTCGACCGAGTCTATGAAGCCCTGGCCGCCTCCCGGTGGTGGCAGAGGTTATAGAACCAAGCGATGGAGATGGTGCGGGGGTACGGGTGTTCCAGGGGGTCACGACACGCACCGACCCTTCACGAACCGAAAGGCTGCACCCGGGGAAGGCACAGTAATCCGGGCACGTGTTGGGCGCCCCATTCCGTTTAGGGCTAGGTCGGCTCAGGGCCCCGTCCACTTCCCTCCCGCCTGGCGCGTGATGATGAGGAGTTGCCACCCAGGCCAGCCAGGACAGGGGCGGGGGCAGGGCGAGGCGATGC